CAGGTCAATCCTGACCCGGGGTGGTAGCACCTGTTACGGTCCCAGCTATTGGTAAATAGTTAACTGCAGTCAAATTACTATGAAAGTGTAAAAATAGGTTTTAATACCAGAAATACTTTGTAAAAAATTATTACCAGCAATAAAGTTTTGTAGAAAAATTATTACCAGCAATATAATTTTGAAAAAAAACCTAATATTACCAGTTATATATCTTTAAAAAATAAAATTGCCAGCTATACATTTTTTTCCAAAAAATAACAGCTATACATTAAAAAAAAATACCAACAATACATTTTTTTTTAAATATTAGCAGTAATAAAAATCTAGTCGGTATTAAATAACCCATTGAGGTTGATATGCCGTTAAACAAACCAAACCAAACCAAACCTATCTTAAAATTAGTCCAGAAAAGAGGATTCTAGTTTTACAAAATAGTCAACCATTTCATACACAGTAAGGACCTTTTTTTCTTCAGTCTTGAGCGCCTATTGAGGCTTAAAGTCAATCCAGAGCTCAAGGCCGGGGGGGGATCGTACGTACGATCCATTGCAAAAGATAATGGAAAAATGGTCAGTACCCTTGACCGCATCAATAAGTACCTGACTCCACCTGCTATCCTCTAATTTTCCAAGAGCAAGATCAGTGCAAAAATGGATTTGATTTCACCAGTTTTCACTTCAAAGTCTTGTTAGAGTATAAAGGCGTCTCATTGTCCTTATGGATGACAAATTATTATTCACCCTAGAAACACTGTCTTACAGACGAAACTTCGCAAGCCAGTCACTGCTCTATTGTTGTTTCCATGAAAAGTGCCCAAACGAACTATATTTCTTAATTCAACCAGTCTTAAACTTCACGGCTTAAACCAACCATGCTACGGACATTCCCTTTGTATGCCATTGGTGAGAAGTTCCACCCGAACAGTTTCTTCTCACAAACCGCTACTTTGTGGAAATGACACCCAAGGTGATGTTTTCTCGGTCACTATGAGCATGTTCAAGTCTAGGGTAGACCGTTGTCTTCCCCACATATCCGTATAAACTCTGCCTCTAATTCTTTAAGTCTCATTTTATTGTTGAAATATCTAGATATAGCCGTAAATTCTATTCTAATAATGTAAAGGAAAAGGAAATATATTTCTATTTTTGGTATTATAACTATTTGCACTATTTCCATAGTTCGCATTGTTGTCTTCATTTACACTATCACATTCATGAATTTTCGGCCGTTGTACGCTTGGATCTTCTTCAGGTGATAATTCCCCATGTACACATGAATAAAAAAGTTGATTGATTGATCGCCAAAAATGACTTTACCTTTGGCCTCAGCGAAAATAACAAATCTTGGAGAGATATAAAAGCGAATTAACTAAAAATGAGATATAAAAAATATAAAAAAAAAGGCATGACACATGAAATTAGAACAATCTACCGCCGTGGACTAAATGAACCGGTCGGTTTGGAATTCCATCAAGTATCACCTGAAGAAGACCGGCGCGTACAACGACTGAAACGTTGTGAATGTAACAGTAAAAATGTGGACAACAGTCCGAAAATTTTTAAATAATGTAAAGAGAAAATTTGTTGGAAGGAAAATCGTGCTACCCAACACGAATGCACTGAAGAAAGTTAATTGTAGAAGGTCATTAGCGAGTACGGTTTGATAAACAGATGGAAATCAGAGTTTTGGTGTAATATTGCACAAGCTAGACTAGTCCAACCTGAATTCAGCTGTCGTTTCCGATTGGCATTAGCTTAATATATTAACTATAGAATTATTAAGCCGCGCACCAAGAAATAATATTAGGATCTAGCTTAAGAGCATGACGAGCCATTTGAAATTTCTAGGGTACATAATAAGGAAAACGTGCTTGGAAAATGTGATACTCATGGGACAGCTCGTAATCAAAAGAGACATGGGGAAATAACGCATTACGTACGTGACGAGCCCGAGTGAATGGATGACCGGGCAGGGTTTGTGGGAGATTATGAAAAGACAAAGGACAGTAGGCTGTGGAGACCTTATAATCACTGACGTCCGGAAGTGACACGGCACATAAAAGAAGAATTAAATCAGGCCTTTATATATTATTCTATTTCGAGTGCAAAACCGACCGGTTTCTAGGCTTCTATTATATCATTGTGCCTTCTGGGCAATAAGTCTTACATTCGACATTAAATAACACAGCATGTCTTAAAATGGCTTTAAATTAACCACATTTACTAGAATATTGACTTAATACTGCCTTAATTTCACCTGTTCACCGCTATTATTTATCTAATTGAGTTCGTTCATATCTATTTATCTATGTATCCACACACACACACACACACACACGTGCACATATAAAGGGTGCTCCAAAACTTGGACCGATTTTAAATGTGAATTAAGTTTAAGCCTCTATTTTTTTTTCTTTTTCTTTCAGATGTAACAACTTAGTTCTTTGGCAATTTCAACCATGGAAAGACTAACAAACAAACAATGCGTTAAAGTTATCGAAGCCTATTACGAAATTGAACGTTCAAACAGAATTTCATTGAGAAGTTTCCAGGTCGGATCATCTCTTGAAACAGTGAAACATTGGCCACCACGAACGTGCGACTTGACGCCTTTAGATTTCTTCCTTTGGAGGTCATCTCAAAAGTAAGGTCTATACCAACAAGCCAACAGCAATTCAATAGTTGAAGGATCAGATAATAAGGCATATTGGTGAGATCGAGGAGCAACTATGCAGAGACGTCATCAAAAATTTTGATCATCAAGTGGAGGTTTGCCGCCGAAGACTTGACGGACATTTGGGCGATATTATTTTTTGCACATAATTTCCATGACTTAAATAACAGTAGAGAAATAAATAAACTTTCACTGATAACACTGATTTATTTACTGCTGACTTTGATCCTTCTTAATGAAACAACCTGTGATGGAGAAATTGTTGTCTAAATTGCGCAAAAATATAAGTAACACTGACATCTCATTTTAACAAATATATTTACTAAAATTACACAAAATATCTGGAAATAAGAATACATTTATTCAATAAAATCGTCACTGGCTTCAACGACGGCCTCAAGACGACTTTGGAATCTCCAGTAATTCTTCTTGGCGGTCTCCCTGCTTAAGTTGAAGAATACTGCCATCATCCTTTCTTTCAGTTCATCTTTGGTGTTAAAAGGAGTTTTGTTGATCTCTCACTCAACTGCGCCTCACACATAATAATCATTAGAATTGCAGTCTAGGGAGTTAGGTAAATATGTCTGCCTGCCATGACAGGGTACTCCTGCTTGCGTGGCATGTTGCATAGCCCTATAGGGTCATCTAGCAGGCATCCTCTTGACCCAAGGTAGCAATGCCCGCTCAAGGCCTCTGTGTTAAGTGTGAGGCCCTCACCAACAAATTCGGGACTTCTTTTCTGTAACATTTGCGAGTTGCCGAATCCTCTGCACTGTACTCACCTCAGACTGACACCTAAACACGATGAAATATACGTATTGGAGCTTCCGGTGCGAATGATAAGCAGTACAGCATGCCGATCCCTGCTTACCGGCCGAGTGAATTGTGTCATCTTACCCTTTTTGTCAGAGACAGTGGCCAACCCACCCTAATATACTGTGCAGTCAACAAAATTAAAATAGGATAAACAACGCGCATGCGCCAAATGAAAAAATTTAATGGCGACAACTAACCATCGCGCACATACACACACATACACAGTATATATATATATATATATATATATGGAAGCACTGTGGAGTAGTGGATAGCGACTAGGATTGAGCCGAGTTCAAATTCCAGTCGAATCCATTACATTCTTATATATATATATATATATATATATATATATATATATATATATATATATATAAAAGTGAACATAGAAGTCAACACTTAGAGGCGACAGTCTGTTTCATGCTATATGCAATCGTCAGGCCTGACGATTGCATATAGCATGAAACACACTATCGCTTCTAAGTGTTGACCTATATTCACTTTTATATTTACACACGCTCTATCTCTGATATTGAGCACCATAAATATAGCACACCTTAAGACTATATTTGTTTATATATATATATGTGTGTGTGTGTGTGTGTGTGTGTGTGTGTCTGTGTGTGTGTGTGTAGAGAGAGAGAGAGAGAGAGAGAGAGAGAGTGAGAGAGAGTGAGTGAGAGAGAGAGAGTTTTGTCCTCTGAAAAACTTTATCTAGGTAAGTGCAAAGTTATATTTTATATTATTTTGGAACTTTTATGTATATACCAGAGCCATTGGTGTGGCATACTTAGCTGGACTTATTGGACCATTTTTCTTTCGCAATGAATCTAGTGACAACACCATCATTGCAAGGGAAAATTACCTGAAGAGGTTGCAGCGGTTTGCTGTGCTTCAACTACAGGTGAGGAGTGACCTTGCTAATATCATTTTCAACAAGACGGAGCCCATCCCCACATTGCCAGGTTAGTGAGAGATTTCCTGAAGGTCATGTTACCTGAACGATGAACCGATCGAAAGGGTCCTGACGAATAGGCTTCGCACCAACCTGACCTCACTTCGTGTAACTTTTTCTTTGGGGTTCCATCAAAATCAGTTTGAGGTCCTGGAAGAGAAACTGTAATTGTCTGAGAGAAAAGCGTAATTGTAAGATATTGAACTAGACTCGATGGCCTGGGAACGTGAGGGCAAGTCTAGCAAGTAAAATTGCAATGACACTTTTGCTAAAGCTACAAATATGAATGTACACAGTTTCTGGTGAAATTTTTCGGTATGTATTAAAAGTTTATAGTGACTTTTAGGACACCTATATATATATATATATATATATATATATATATATATATATATATATATATATTAAACTCAGTTCATATCTATCTATCCATCTATTTATCTATCAATCTATCACAGTCTGTTCATATATGAACCAATTCATCTATCTATCTTTCTATCTATCTATCTATCTATCTATCTATCTATCTATCTATCACAGTCTGTTCATATCTGAGCCGGTTCATCTATCTATCTATCTATCTATCTATCTATCTATCTATCTAACACAGTGTGTTCATATATGAGCTGTTTCATCTATCTATCTATCTATCTATCTATCTATCTATCTATCTATCTATCTATCACAGTCTGTTCATATCTAGCTGTTTCATCTATCTATCTATCTATCTATCTATCTATCTATCTATCTATCTATCTATCTATCACAGTCTGTTCATATCTGATGGTTCATCTATCTATCTATCTATCTATCTATCTATCTATCTATCACAGTCTTTTCATATATGAGCCCTTTCATCTATCTATCTATCTATCTATCGACCTATCACAGTCTGCTCATCTATCTATCTATCTGAGCCGGTTCATCTATCGATCTATCTATCTAACACAGTCTGTTCATATATGAGCCGGTTCATCTATCTATCTATCACAGTCTGAGGCCCTTTCATCTATCTATCTATCACAGTCTGTTCATATATGAGCCCTTTCATCTATCTATCTATCTATCTATCTATCTATCTAACACAATCTGTTCATATCTGAGCCGGTTCATCTATCTATCTATCTATCTATCTATCTATCTATCTATCTATCTATCTATCTAACACAATCTGTTCATATCTGAGCCGGTTCATCTATCTATCTATATATCTATCCTTAAAGATGGTTACAAACAGACAAAGGTGATACTCGAGTTTAAGGAATGGCAACACGGGCGTAGTTGAAAGAAAGTGAGGTTTGTCGTAACAAAAGAATACACTACTGAAAGACAGAGAATCGCTTAGTAGGCTAGTAATTCCCAAAGTAAGGTTATTTAACTTACCTCCCCGCCAGACAGGATATGGCACAAGTACGTGTTTTTAATGCGGGTCGAAACCGAGCCCGTAGGCTTAAGCAAAAATTCCCTGTAGACCTCATATAGATGGTGTAGGGTAGCTGTCGACCACCACTGACGAGACTCTGTAGCCTCGTCTGGGTTCCTCTCTGTCCGAAGGCAGAGAGTTCGACCAGCACAACTTGAGAGGAATCTCCAAATAATTGACGAAGTAAGGTAACTAACCTCCACCTTCGACGGAGGATGTGGCACAAGGCCGTTTTTTTTTTTGATGCGGGGTTAAATATTAGAACACATATTTGGAAATATAGAATATTCTCAAAATTATTAATGATATATTCACTTGCAAAAACTATTTTTTCTTACAATCCTAAAATATGTTTTGGCTTTAAATATCCTACAAATATTTGAATCGGAAAATCAAATGAATTAACAATTAATACATGTCGAGGATGAGCTAAAATTATTCTGCCTAAAAAAAGAAAGAAATAAGAAATAGGAAAAAAAGATAACAGTAAAAAACGTCAAGAAAAACGACCGAAGGAAATGCAAAAATAAAGAAAGAAAACTAAAAGGACATTTCGGCAAGTTGTGTGGCCGATTGGTTAAATATTGGCTTTCTGACTATGAGACACGGGTTCGAATCTCAACATGGTCGATTTGTCAGGAAGGCGACTTCCTAGTGTTATCGAACTGAATCGAGGTCGATCCCAGCATACAGCACATTTGGAAAGTGTCTGAAAACCATACTACAGATTGACCCAAGCCTTGTGAGTGAAATTGGGTAGACGGAACTTTCGTAGGTCGTCGATAGTACGTAGCCTCGTCATCGTGGCCAAGGGCTTGAGCGTGCTGGTCTCGTTTAAATTGTTGATCACGGTAGATAACACGCTCTCTACCCGGAGGTCTGCTCAGCATAGTTGCAGTATAAACCAAAGTGGGTGTTCAGTATACATAAACGTGCCTCAGCGAGCATAGGTATTGGCTAGCTAGACGAGTATACGAATGGCCAGCAATTACATATATATTTTATGTGCAGTCTCTCTTCAGGATTTAGGCGGTCATGGCTCTCCACTTCCCCCTATCATTCGTAGCTCTCAATATGTTTTGTCCCATTGCTATTTCTCCCGGCCCTGTTCCCTCATGCACTTGCTTAAGTCCGCTAGGTATGTCACGTGTTGCTTTCCCTTGTCTCTCGTTTCTTCTATGTGCCCTGTGAGTATCACAATATATTGGGTAAATTTTCACAAAGTTAAAGAAACATTTATGAACACAAAAAGGATCTTATACATAGCAATACTTCAAATGTATTAGTCATACATACAAATATATTCAACTACATTCCGATCTAAAGGATGCCAACTTACTTATACGGAAAATCCTTGTAGGTGCAATTATTGAATGTTGCCAGAATATAAATATGCACCCAGGACTTTTTGCAATATTTCCTTTGCCGAAAGGAATACTGATTTTGAAGTCAGGACATATGACGATATAAAATGTTCAAAATTATAATAAAGATATTAAATTACAAACCATCTATTACTAAAATATTTAATACATAAATTAATCGGAAAAAAAATAAATTGCAAAAAAATGTTACAATTTACTTGATAAAGTCAATCAGACTAAGATAAGTTTTCCTTTGGTCTTTAGTCATATTGCTTTATTCTATAGTTTAGTTATATCTGAATTGAAGGTTTTGTGCAGAACTATCCACACTTTTTGAAGGGCCGAATACAGAGACCTGGTGCACTACGTGTCACAAGGTCCCCGAATGACACTCCGAGGGTTTTGAATTCAGAGTTGTCCTTCACCTAAAGCAGTTACCTTCCAAGGCTAAAAAAACCCGCCCGGCTATTTACCCATAACTGGAAAGGGAAGAAGATTCAAACCTTTCCCACTGGTATTAGCAGGTAAGTAAAAGTAATGGATTCTACTGGAATTCGGACTCGGCTCTCTGAGGCCTCAATCCAATCCGCACTACTCCACCATGATTTTATATATATATATATATATATATATATATATATATATATATATATATATATATATATATATATAAAAAAAAAAAAAAAAGACATATTTATGTTTAACATTCTTTTTTATAGATACAAATATTAAAGTAAATTCTCTGTTTATAATAAACAACATTTACCGGCCTGAATGTCCGAGAAATTTTCATAGAAAATATTCGTTCTCCGACAGGATTCGAACCTGTATCCTATACGAAACCGTCATTTAGCTTGACGTGCCTTAACCGATTTGGCTACAGAGGAACGTTCGGTTAGCAAGGTCTAATTTACTGTATTCATATCTGCTCATGGCCTATCAAATGTAAACAAATGACGTCACAAATTATGAAATCGACAAATTCCGATAAATATTTTAAGACATTTTTATGTTTAACATTCTTTTTATAGATACACATATTTAAGTAAATTCTCTGTTTAAAATAAACAGTATTAAACAACATTTAGTCACAAGTCATCGTGACTGAGGTTTTGAGCGTGCTTGTGTTGTTCAGATTGATGGTCATTCTAGGTAACACGCTCTTTCCTAGAAACTGTAACTAAAGTCTGCTCAGCATAGTTACAGCATAAACAACAGATTGGCTATGCGTGTGCTGTGCCTGAGCGAAAGTCTTCACTCGGGATTGGATAGCTACTCTAGTAGACCGGTATCCTCGAATACGTGTGGTCAGCTATATATATATATATATATATATATATATATATATATATATATATATATATATATGTCTATGTGTGAATGGTTGCACAAACACACACACACACACACATATATATATATATATATATATATATATATATATATATATATATATATACCGTCACACAATTGTAAAATATCTCTTATCAACGACCCCAAAAACACTTCTAAATTATGTCAAAATTATCTCGACTCATGAAGAAGAACACAATTTTGGAAATTTTGATTTGGCCGCCTCAGTCTCCTGATCTCTGTCTCTTTGAATTAGTATGAGATGAATGTGACAAGATAGTTCGAAGAAAATACCAAAAGAATGAGAATGACTTATTTCACTGCTTGAAGAATGCTTGGGAAGTTCTGCTGTAGACTTTTATTTTTCAGAAACGGTTGGAACGAAAGCAAATAAATAAAGAAAATAATACATGACATTTTTATATTAATTTTTGATACTCAAGTGATTATTTTTTTTGTCAAAATAAAACCAAATACACTGTAAATTCTAAAATTCTCTTTTACTTCAAAAATACATACATACATACATACATACATACATACATACGTATATGTGTGTGTGTGTGTGTGTGCATGGAAATGATAACGAGTGATAAAGACACTTCAAAGAGTGCTATGTGAAAGGAGAGAGTATAGAGAGGTTTAGAAAATAAAATAAAAAGAACAAATATGATTAATATGATAGACATACAAACAAATAAAGAACAGTGAGGGACTGAGACTTCGTGCAGGAGGCGATAGCTTGTGCCAGAAGGCTAGAAAATCAGTTGGGATAATATGTCGCAAATTACGTCTGTCGGAGATGCTCCATCTTGGGCCGCCGGTCTGATCGATGTTTCTTTAGCACAGAAAACACGTCCGGTTCCCTGGCCATCCCATAATCACATTTGTTGTCCAATCGAATAATGTCACGGATTCGGATAAGGAAAGTAATAATCTAGGAATTTGCAAATTCCGCTTCACGCTTTCTGCCTTCAGGATTTATGCATTGGATATTTCTTTATTTACTTTTTCTTTTTTTTCTTTTCTTTTTTTTTGTTCTCTTTGTCATTTTCCATATAGAATTTGCTTGTGTGAACAGACCTGTTCATTTATTTGCTTCTATCTACTCTTACCAAATATCTGTATGGATCTTTTCGAAGACCAGACTTCTTCAAATATTGGGACTGGCGATATAGAATCACAAACAAAAAATTGAACAAAATCGTAGAAACACAATCACTTCTTGAGTAGTTTCAACAACAACAGCTACAATGGATGTCGCATATAAATCAAACATGTCTTCATTCCACACTATGTTAAGTAAAAGCTGAGGAAGGAAACGCCAGTCAATATCAGAAAAAGCGATAACTGCTACTGGACAGGAGAAACACATCGATATGAGAAATTCATTTACTAGAAAGCTTTTATACAATTTCACCTGATATTAGTACTGGGTGTTTGGTCAATGAATACCGAATGCTCCCTTATATTCTCTTGCTCAGTACTTTCTTCATATTTTTTGTTTCTCCATTTCTTTCCCTTTTTCCCTTTGTGATATTATGTTTACTCCTCGGTTCTTTCTTTATATTCTTTATTTATTTATTTATTTCTGTGTTATTACGTTTATTTTTTCTCGGTCCTTTCTTTATATTCTTTCTTTCTTTCTGTGTTATTACGTTTATTTTTTCTCGGTCCTTTCTTTATATTCTTTCTTTCTTTCTGTGTTATTCCGTTAAATATTTCTCGGTTCTTTCTTTATATTCTTTCTTTCTTTCTGAGTTATTCCGTTTATTCTTTCTCGGTTCTTTCTTTATATTCTTTCTTTCTTGCTTTCTGTGTTATTCCGTTTATTCTTTCTCGGTTCTTTCTTTATATTCTTTCTTTCTTGCTTTCTGTGTTATTCCGTTTATTCTTTCTCGGTTCTTTCTTTAAATTCTTTCATTCTTTCTTTCTTGCTTTCTGTGTTATTATGCTTACTCTTTCTCGGTTCTTTCTTTATATTCTTTCATTCTTTCTGTGTTATCCCGTTTATTCTTACTCGTT